GTATAGACTATGGCTCTAAACAAACGAGATTACTCCTCAGTGTGGCATTGCTGGGCTTTCTCCTAGGGTACTAGTGGGAGAGTAAGAAAGTGCACATCCTCCATCCTGCATTTCATTGAGTAGTTCCAATTCTTTGGAGGTGAACTCCCCATGTCCCTCAGGAATCAAGCTAGTTATGTAAATGTTTGACATTGCTCAATGTGAGCAACAAAGAAAGGGAATGGGGGAACTTTGGAGAGTCTAAAGGACTTGAATTGACTCAAACAAAAATAAACTGTAGACTAAGTAACATCTCCTTGGACCTAATTCATGCCCTAGATGACCTGTTTTCGAAAGTTTCTCTTTCTATTACTATTAGCAGTCAGCATCTCACCCCCACCCCATGCCTCCATTTCCTTTAGGAGAGTGTAATAAAAGCTTCATAAAAGAATCTCTGACATTAAAAATGTTTATTAAAGGAAATATACTAAATTTCTACATCCCCAATAATTCTGATTTTCTTCAGATGTTTAGTTCAATCTATTTCTCCCAACATCCTAAACTTAAATTTACATTATAAATTTTATACCTGAAACTTTGCTTAAGTATAATTTCTCTTTTCTTTATTCATGTCTAATATAATTTAAATGAATTTAATTAAATATTTTATGGCCTTTATGTACCTGTCATACATCCTAATAGGGAAGTGACAACAAACAAACAAAGCTCATAGTCTATACGACATAGATTTTTCAGAGGACTTGCAGTCAGGGAGAAAGAATAGACCTAAGAGCATATTCTTTTCTTTAAGAAAAAATTCCCACAATAGTGGAAAATTTAAAAACCATGTATAAGGGCTGGGGATTTAGCTCAGTGGTGCCACTGCCTGCCTCATAAACGCAAGGTTCTGAGTTCAACCCACAGTACCAAAACGAAAAAGAACCACGTATAGTAAATACTATAGTGCTTTTATTTTCTTTCTGGCCTCTATTTTCCTTTTCTTAACTTCCTTGAATTTTCATTTTGTTAATCGTAACAACTGCATATACTCCTGGTTTTACGGTAGGACAGGAAGCTCAGGCCTAAGGTAGATATTGTTCTTGTGCCCTGACTTCAGTGATTTGTTGACAGGTATACCACTATAGGAAAGCCAGCCACAGCATGAAGCCAGTTTGTTTTAGTTTAGTTCCTTGAAGTATTATGTTAGGTGGTTTGAGATATTTCTTCTTTTTAATGTAAGCAGTTATTTCTCTTCTCTTAGCACTGATTTTGCCACATCCCATTACTTTTGGTATGTGGTGTTTTCATTTGTATTAATGTATTTTTAAAATTCTCTTTTGATTTCCTCTTTGAACCAAAGGTCAAGAGTATATTATTTAGTTTCCACATATTTGTTAATTTTTTTTTGTTTCCATCTTGTAGGGTTAGGGATGGGGCAATACCAGTCAAACAACTAGGTGGAATCTGTCAGTCACAGAGATCCAGGTCACACGGGCAGAACACAAGATACAGGATGACTCTGCAGCTCCTGAGCACTGTACACAAGCATGGATGAGAAAAGTACTATTTTCACTTCTTCATTTACATCTGGTGAAGCCAAGCAAATATATACAACTCCCATTTGTCTATGCCTCATTGAAGCAGTATTTTTATCATATCTTAGAAAAACAATAACAAGAAACTTCTGGAACTGCTTCAGAAGGTGGTATAGATACTATAATTGCATAATTGGATACTGGCATGAATACTGTAATTTTAATTCAAAGTAAGGGGAAGTATTTTGAGGGAGATTAATGGCTATATGTCTTTTATTATAGTAAATTTTTAAAAAATCTACCTTATATTTTAATCACTCCTATGTACATTTAGCATCTTTAAATTCTTTTATCACTTTTTGATCAATGTTGGGATCTTGTGTTTTTTAAAATTTCATAGGATTTTATAAGCATAGGATTTATTAGCATTTATGAGGTCTGAGCACTCAATTAAACATACTTAAATTATAAGTCACAGTCACTGCCTTCAAGGGACTTACTGTATTTTGGGGATAATAATGTACTTAAATAGATAGCTATAGAACAAGTTGTAAGGTATGGCATACAAGATGTAAAAAAGCAGGTTGAATCTTCATATTATTTTAAGAAAATATGATTTTATTGAAATTGCTGAGCACCATCTAATAGAAAAAGCACACTCATAAAACTATTTTTGTGTATCCTTATCCACTTTATTCATTCCATCTCACACTATGAGACATCTGGCTCTCCCTCCCAAGCAAAATAAGAATGGAATGTAAACATTTTGAACATTTGAATCATTTCAATCAACATTGAGACAGTGAAACTAAAGACACTTGCAAAAGAAGACTTCTAAAACTGCTTCAGAAAGCGACAAAAACTATAGGATAAGTGTGTTCAAAGCAAGATTTAATACTTTAAGGGAAATTTATAGCAATGTGTTTTATACTGTAATAATTTTTTTTTAAATGTAAACATTCACCATATTTTCTGATCATGCTTCATAAGTTATCTCAGTAAATATATTAAAAGAATAACTAAAATTAAAAACTATAATTATTTCACATTCTGAATATAGTCTTAGTTGTATTCTTTGTATATATCTGTCTTTTCATGGAAACTTCAGTAAACTAATGTTAAATTTAAAAAAACAAGGTTTGTAGATTTTTACATGCTAAATCAAGGTATAAACTGCATTGTCATCTGTATGTCTGGTATCTAAAACTGTGTGACATAGAGTAGAGTTGCTCAGTAAATATTTGTGAATTAATAATGAATAAGAATCAGTAGAGAAAGCTCCATGCATTATTTAATTCTGAAAATGTGAGGGAAACAGGCCCACTTCACAAATAGAGTAAACACTTTCAGATCCCCCCCCACTTCCTAGGCTTAGTGGTTGATGTGATACTGGATTGTCTCAGGAAGCAAAGAGCCTTCTGAAATGCATTCCCTCAATTTTTTTAAGCTTTACTACAAAACAAAACCAAATTAAAAACCCCATATCTTAAGTAACTTATATGCAAGAATTCCACTTGGGCTTATCAGTGAAGAGTTTGAGGAAATTTTACTATCAAATCTAAAAATGTTGTTAGTGAGCAAATAAGGCACTGACTGGAATACTTAAAAAACATCTACCTTTCACTAATCCAACAGTTGTACAAAGCTTTAAACTGCAGGAAAGAATGTCAGCTTAATTTTTTTCAAAAAAGTGCATATTTTCATATCTTTAAGTGTATCTAGGTATAAGTAAAAAAATGTAAGGAAGAATTCTTTTTAAACAGGAATAAATGACTTTTAGAGGCTGAGGCAATTTAGTTACTCAGTGAGAGCCTTTTTCAAAATTTTAAAATGGGCTGAGGGTATGGCTCATTGCTAATGGCTGTGGGTTCAATCTCCAATATCCTACCAAAAATGAATAAATGAATGGAGTGTTTCTTATACAGAAATTATGGCTATTACTTTGTAAGAATAGTAGTATTTTTTTCAGAAGTTTGAAGTGTGGATTTCAGCAAGGTGTAGGAAATGATAAAGTTGAAGATTAAAGCAGAGAGAGTATACCATATGTTTTTAAAAAGGTCAGTTAAAAAAATAGTAGTCGTGAAAGTCCTCAGAATGACTGAATCATGCCCAAAGAAACATTGGCCAGTAATGTAAGGGCTGCTTGGTCAAGGAGGACCTTCTTAGCAGTTGTACTACTAGGGTATTTTACCTCAGATGAATCCTAGTGTAGCTGTGGCTACAGGGAATGTAACCAATGAATTTTCAAAGTTTTGACTCTTTGTTTTTATTTGTTTCTTTGTTTTTAAACCAATATCATTCTCATTCTGAAGTTAGAGTTTCTGCTTGATCCGTTCCAATAAGGACTTTCCCTGGATTTGGACTCACATGGACCTGTGTACTGTATTGATTTAGCGAGTTTAGGTCACTTCTAATTCCTGTGGTAGTGTTTTCTTATGGTGAGCTAATTAAGTAGCTTATGACAGTGTTTGGGTGCAGGATAATTGCAGGCATTTCAATGTCTAAAAAAACATACATTAACAAATTGGCATTCTGATGTCTTACTCCTGCCAGATTCATTTTAGGAACCAAGAACCAGTTCATACTTACTTTAGAACTAAAATCCCCATTCAAGACTTCTCATTTCTAAATGAAGCACATAGCAAAGTCCTGGTCATTTTTCAACTTTAAATGTTTGGCCTAAATCAGTGAACTTCAGTTAGCCCCGTTTAAAGAACTTAGCTTGGTTATTTGTACTTTCTCTCTCTGTTACCCCAAAAGGAGTTTTTATTCCAAACACAGTCCATTTTGAGGAACAACACTGTAGGGGCAGAGGGCCATAGAAAAAACACTAGAACAAAACCCGATGGCTAACATTGTAAAATCATCACATGCTTATCTGTGGCTAATGATTGTAAAGCTTATCTATGGCTGACAATTCTAAGATCATCACATGTTTATCTGTGTACCAAGTAATCAAGAAAATGTATCCTCCTGTATCCTATGGGAGTATTACTCACATTTACTTGTGCTGACCTTGTCCCCTTCCCAGAAACAAAAGATAAGACCCTAATTGGCCTACAGCATTAATCAGTAAAAGTTATTTTTTAGAAACCAGCTCGCCCCCATAAGTATGAAATACATCTCATACTCACTGGGCATCCTGGGATGTCCCTATCTTGTAGCATCACTCTGCTGCTAAGATAGTTTCCTTTCTAATTCCTCTGCATTTGCCACACTTTAAAACTTTTGCTTCCCACTATACCAGCCTTGACTTCCCCATTTCTCACTAACAGCCCCACTTCTCCATTCTTTGCTGAGGTGAAGGCAAGGAACAGAATTGGAGTTCAACCAAGAGACACCCCACACACGCACACGCACGCACACACACACACACACACACACACACATTGGAGTTCAACCAAGAGACACCCCACGCACGCACACACGCACACACACACACACACATTGGAGTTCAACCAAGAGACACCCCACACACGCAAGCACACACACACACACACACACACACACACACATTGGAGTTCAACCAAGAGACACCCCACACACGCACACACGCACACACACACACACACATTGGAGTTCAACCAAGAGACACCCCACACACGCACACACACTCACACACACACACATACAAGTTGAAACAACAGGGACATTTGTTACAAATTTTCCTAAAGGACTGGCACAAAGATTTCACACTGTGCATTATATAGCAAAGCTCCCAGTGGCTCCCTTAACAATCTTACTCCACATTTTCATTCTTAGTGCAACTGTTTTAAAATCATTCCCTATCCCTTTGCAGGTGATCTTGTCCACACCACTCACAGCACTTCCTAAATCTTGGTCCAGGCCCGATCCCTTTGGACATCTGCTTTACTTCTGACCAAACTGCTTCCTGGCAAGAGCAATTGTCTCTGAGTACCCTCCTGCTAAATAGTCTTTGAGACTCTGGAGAATAAACTTTCTACTTCAGCACAGTAATAGAAACAAAAACTGCCTTGGAAAGACAGTCTTTGAAATGTATACAATTTGAAAAAAGAAACAAACATAATTGTTGGAACCCTTGAACTTGGTAATACATGACCCTATCACAGGTAAAAGAGAAGAGCTTTGACAAAAATTTCAAAGAATTTTTCAAAATGTTAAGTGATAAATGAATATTTATAAATTTGTTTATTTAGTTATTTATTTCAGTGTTAGGGATTGAACCCATGGCCTGATGCATGCTAGCGCACCCTCTACTACTGAACTACAGCTCCCATCACCTCCCCATCCCTCTATTTTTTCTTGAAACAGGATCTCATTAGGTTGGCCAGACTGGCATTGGAGTTGAGATCTTCCTGAGTCAGCCTCTCAAGTAACTAGGATTACAGGTATGTACCACGGTTCCTGGCTTATATTTATTTTTGATATTACAAAGCCAAATGCAAGAAAAACATTCCCCTAATGTCAGTCATTAACCAGGTCACTGTATTTAGCTTTTATTTCACTCTAAGGAAAATTGCTTGGTTGGACATGATCCAATTTCTTTATTTCCTGATATGCTACTATGGCCAGTCATTTCATTTCTTTAATTTCAGTTTTTTTTTTTTATCTGTAATATAGGGTTAAGTGACATACAACCGTCTCTCAGTATCCATGGGGACTGATCCCAGATTCAAGGACTCCCATAGCCACTCACTGTAGATACAAAAATTCCAAGATTGCTCAAGTATTGTTTAGTGTATAATGATAAGGGGAAAAGTCTGTATTTTCAACGCAGACTTTTTTTCCCAAATATTTTGGATCCTTGCTTTGGTTGAATCTGCCAACGCAGAACCTGTGAATATAAAATTTTTACTGTAAATTATATATGTATAATAAGGAAAAATTTAACACCTGGCACTTTCATGGGTAGGGGAGTTAAGGAACAATTGCCTATACTAGAACATAAAGTGAGAGTTTGAGATTTTTCCTCAAAATTTTTTATCCCTCCAAAGCAGATAGCAACTTTAAATGCAACTCTCACATTAAAGACATCCTTTCAGTAGTTTCATGTGGGGGGAAAAACACTGGGGAAAATTTGGAGAAGATTCCTAAAAGAGTTTCAATTAATGTTAATTTCAATAGTTTATTAAGGTTACCCAAGAGAACTGGTTATAAAAAAGGAGGTAAAGTAATTTAACCTGGCTGTAGTCATTATTTTTCAGTACAAGCTCTCAGTTGCAGGTGTTGAATGTCATTGTAAATAAGGCTTAAAGGTCAGTTTAAAAAGCAACAAATTAAATGAGTATGTATCAGGAATACAAATATGTCATGAAATAAAATTTCAATAAACCCAATCTGATTGAATTAATTTGCTATACTTCAACTAATTAGAACAGAACTAAGTGTGTGTTGGAAAACAGCATTTGATAACTCAGTAGTGGCTCTATTGATGGCAAGGACATCCATGTCAAATGTGAAGAATTATCTTGACCTGTGAGAATAGAAAAATTATATTTTTTCCTATGTGATCTATGACTTCAAATATTAATATAATTAAATTGATAAAATCAGTCTTGTAATAAAGCCTTTGATTATTTCGTCTATAATAATCATTTGCATATTTATCCCCTTGTTTGGGAAAATACATTCTTGAATCCCTAACTTTCAGGCACTTATGATACCTTGATGAGCACCTTATTGGAGATGTGACTTGTAAGATTGGGAAAGAAGTTTCCTCCTGAGAGAAAAGAAGCAAGCAAGTAGGAAGGCAGGAAATCTAGAACGACCTGAAGATAAGGGCAGGACTCTCCAATGGGAGAAGAGTCAATATATCCTCTCAGTGATGGAGAGCCCAAAGAATCAGAAAAGAACAAAGATAGATAACATTTATCTAAGGCACCTATGAGATACAGTGTAAGCTCCTTCCAAGTCATCCATCATCCCCCCAATTCTATACCTCTTCACATGCTTTGTATGAGCCTAATTTTTTGTGGATGGGAGATGCTGTGCATTTTAGTTGACCAAGAAGCAGAGGATGAAGGACACTGGAGGCCAAAATGATCTGAAGAATATATATTATTCCTAATTTCTCACCTTGTCCTGTGGCAGTTTGAGGAAGGCTCACAGCTCCTCTGAGCACAGGTCAGGTTAGCCTCTCCCAGACCCCACAGAAGGAGGACCAAATGACACTGGAGCAGTCACATGGGGATTGGGAGCATTAAAGCACTCTGTAAAGTTCAGATATTGTTACTCTCCATCCAATTACTTGTATCAAAATTTTACTTCTGATACAAATTTTGTATCCAATTATATACAATGATATTTTTAGAAAATCAAATTTGAGACCTGTGCATTTTATCCTCAGATTAATTTTATCATCTTTGAAGTCTATTTTCAAATAAATTATATTTGAGTAACAAATTGTTAATTTAGAACAGTTACATCATGAAATTAGGCTGTATTATCACATTTTTGTGGAAGACAAGCTTGTCACTGAGACAATGATGGGTTTGGATCTTCATTTAGTTTTCACATCAAGTTTAGGCACTTTTGATAAAGACACAGACTATATTATTTTATAATTTAGTAATTACCTTTACTTTACAGCAAGGTATGTTGGAGGTTCAATTAAATTATTTATTTTACCAGGAGATATTCTTTGGAATGTAAGCATAAGGAGTAGAAAACATCTGGCCTATAGCACTCAGATAGAAGGGTCAGGTAAGACCTTTACAGAAATTACTTGTTTAAATCATTACTTCTTAATCATCAATCTAAAAATTTAAGCCATTTTCTAACTTTATTCTAAATATGATCTCCTTTGTATATTTCTGGCTTCCATTCAAATAAAAGAGCTTTCATCATTTTTAGTATACGAAAGTGGCATTTTCTAAATGTTAGATAAGAAAAATACTTACATGAAGTATCAGTATTTTCCAAATCAGTGTCTTAAAGTTATTTAATATCTTAAATAAGTTTAACATGTATCTATACTGAAAGAATGAATGTAGTTTATGTAGGACTAATGACTTTTTAAAAATCAAGTTAAAAACCAAGTACGCTTGTAATTTGGAGTTCTAAAAAGTAAGGATTTATTTTTTGAGGAAGCTTAAGATGGAGACATGAAGGGCGTAATGCTACTTCCTTGGTCACAAAGGGTTCTTACTAGGATCCTTATGTTTCTTGTTATCTTGGATCTATTCCTGTAAAACTTGTAGTAGCTATTTTCTAAAAAAAGAATTTGAAGCCCAACTGATGATATATAATTACAGTAGTATTATTATAGCTCTTGGTATGATCCACTATAATCAAAGTTGTATACTCTCTGATTATATGTCCAATTGTTCTACCAGCCTTCAGACACTTGCTTGGAATGCTACTGAAATCCAATTTTCTCCCTTATCAGTCTTTTATAAAATCTGCTTTAAAATTTACTGTAAAAATCTTGATGACTTTGTCCCTCAGACACTCATTAAGTTCTATATAAATCTTCATGCAAGGAATTTCTTTTAGAATTTGAGTGTCAACTTTCCACACCAACAGAGAAAAATGAGAAGTCAGAGAAAAACACGAGAAAAAACTCAGAAAAATATTCTAAGGAAGAAAAACTGTCTTTGACCAATATGACTTATAATATTTTTATTTTTCCTACTGAAATGCTCCATTATACATCCATGAGGATTATATTTTGTCCTCAGGATTGGAAAAGCATTCATAGTATTAGACTTACATGCTGTACATCTACTTCCTGTGCCTGTGACTCACATTTCTAGTGGATCTAGATATTCTTTCTTAGTAGGTTCTTGGTGTGACACTGCATACATCACTTTTGTTTTCGTGTTCCTTTTGTAAAATTAGTATTACAGTGTACTACTTTGGCCTGCAGTTAGGACCTCATATAATAAACAATATGTAAACCCTTGTAAAGTATCTAGGGATACTTACAGAAACGTGTTATTTTTGTTTTCCTTGGAAAACTGTAAGACAAACATGTGTTTGATTCACCTGCTATCTTAATCTGCCTAGGCTGCCATAACAAAATACCAGAGACTGTAATTTATCATATGTTTGGTTTTTAAGATTCCTAGCGGCTGGAAAGTCTAAGATTAAAATCTGGCAGGGTTCAGTTTCTGGTGAGGCTGTTTTCCTGGCCACTTCCTCACCATGTCCTCATATGATGAAGAAAGCAAGCAAACTCTCTGGTGTCTCTTGTAGAAGGACTATTTCTATTACATCATGGCACTACCTGTATTATCTTATCTCATAGAGGTAAGGGAGTCAGCCTATAAATTGGAGGGAAACATTCAATCCATAACATTTTATATACTGGACCCTCAATCCAGGAAAGGCTGACAGTCATGTCAGCAAATCTCGACCTGGGCACTGGAGCAACATCTGTTTTTATTGTGCTAGGGGGAAGGGGCTCTGGAATGTCTGACTCAGGGTCCAGAGCTGGTTAGTTTAGTTCTTATGCTACAAGGAAAAATCATACTAGATTTTGAACCACATGATGCCAAGAGACTTGAGTTAATGGTTTAAGAAAAAGAAGGGGAATCCAGCATTGAAGGCTGGCTAAAGACATGTGAGGATCAGGCCCAGGTTTATTTCCTTACAGGGGCCCTTCTTGAGAATCCTACAGTGAAGGCAACAAGGTTTTGAAAGACCCTTCCCAAGAATATTGAAGCCCAGAATGTAGTAGGCATCATGAAAACTTATACAGAAATAGATGTGACTAATACTATTGTCTGCTTATTATACAGGTTAGTAGTCAAAAAAAGAACTCAACTCGGTTAAACAGTTGAAGTTTAGCTCATTAGATCTAAAAAGATTTTTACTTTCTGTTCAACTCACTGTTCTTTTTTTGTCTGCTTTCTCATTTACTTCCTCTTTTCCCTCATTTTCTTCCTTTTGCCCTCCTCCTTGTCCCGTGCTTTTTTCTTCTTCTTTTAGAATGTTTTAGGGAACTATTTAGCTAAACATTAGGAAAGACTTACTTCTATTTGCCAGGCTCAAATAAATAAACACATTTTTTGTATACCACTAAAAGTGAATCAAATGTAATGCCAAAAGATCATCAGTCAAATTTTTAAAATAAACTTGTATTATGGTTTAGGTCTGAAATGACTCCCCAAATTCTTGGGTGTTCAAGGTGGAGTTTTTAGAATGTGACTGGATCTTGAGGACTTTAATTTCATCAGTGGATCAATCCATTGATGAGAACATAATTTGATGGCATTATTGGGAAATTAATGGAATCTTCAAAGGTGAGGCCTAGTTGAAGAGAGTTAGCCATAAGGATTGGACCTTAGGACTACATTTGGTCTCTGGTTTTCTCCCATTCTCTCTGCTTCTGCCTGAAAGTAATGGAGCCAGGTGACCATGGCTTGAAACCTCTAAAACTATGAGCCAGAATAGATCTCTCATCCTTTAAGTTGTCTTTCTCATTTATTTCATCATAGTGATGAAAATCAGATTAACATAACTTTCTTAGTTATCTTCTCGAGAAAGCATGAAGTGACAGATTTTACTTGCACTAGTTTCTCAGACCTGACAAGTGAGGTCTTTCTTCCAAATTTTTCAGAAACACATTTCAGGAGAGACTCAAAAAGAACAGAAACACATTTCAGGAGAGACTTGAAGTCATTCATGATCAAGTTCTGTGACACAATATGGTTACTCTTCTTCCCTGTTAAAATTAGTTATCTTTCTTGTATATGCAGTAAGGATAATTGATGGTGAGGACTTCATTTACAGTTGTTCTGTTCTCATTTTGGGCTATGACAGGCCAATTTCCTTAATGTTCTGATGGATTTACAATGTCAAGTGTGCAAAATTGCTAGACAAAGAGCAAGATATAAAGTACCTTATAGTTTTATTGTCATTTAGACATTTGCTGAGTCCTACTTTGGCTGATCCTAGTTATAGAAGACAGAATAGGGGCCTTAGGAGTTCTCATTCTTGACAGTGATGGTACAGGGAGGGGTGGAGTGGGAATGTTAGTTTTAGGTTCAATAGTTAACAGACCCTGGTTTTCTTTCTATCTTAAATGGTAAGGCCTTCTATGCCACTAAGGCCCTTCCCCAGAGGGTACTCAAATTATAATTCAACTCTTCAGTTCCTAGATGTTTCAGGACCACACTTACACCTGTGCAGAAAGTGTCCATGAATGTACTACCTATCATATATATCAAATTACAAAGACTACAGGAATAATTTTTGGATGTTTGGTAACTTAATCACTTTCTTATTTTTGAGACAGAATATTTGACACTCACAATTTAAAGGAAGAAAGGTTTGTTTGGGCTCACATTTTCACAATTGCAAAAATAGCACAGTGGAAGGGTCCAAAGTAGAGAAAAGCTGCTTCTGTCATAGCAGCCAGTAAGCAGAGCGAAGGAAGGAGCCTTGGAGAGGTCATGCTCCCACTGACTGCCTCTTCTGACCAAGTCCTCCCTCCAACAGTACACTCAGCTGTTGAACTCACCAGGGCATGAATTCACCAAGGAGTATAGAACCTACATGATCCAGTCACCTTCTAAGTGCATGAAACTTTGGGGCCATTGATATGTCAGTGGTACTTAAAAGAGAGGAATTGGTAAGCAGAACTGGGAGTTCACACAGGTCGGAGAATGCAGGGCTGAGAACCTTCATTTGTGAGAGTGGTGGTAACGATGGGGAGGAGGTAAATAAAGAAAATACCACCCTTTGCTTTGAGAACACACACAATAAAAAAGAGAAAGGAGTTGCTTTTATTTGAAGAAAGTTCTTCTCATTCAAAGTAGCATTTAAGCAAACTGGACCCTCTAGATAATTGTGTTTTCCTTTGGAGACCCTGGAAATTTTGAGAGGGAAAAGTACATTGCAAGAGAGGCTGCTCTCTTCAGCACTCTGAGGAGCTTATCTGGGTCACTGGGCCTGAGCCTGCTTTCTGTCCTCACCTGCCTGATCTGAGCAGATCTATGTGGACCAGGAGAGAAGTCTGATCCTTTAACCAATGTCTAGGAAACTGTCTGGTGAAGGAGTTCCTTGGAAAAGAACATAGGACTCCACACAGTACTTTTTCCACTTTGTGCTGTATTATGTAAGGACTGCAGCTTGCATCTGAGAGTAGTTAAAGTTGGGTCTGACTCCAACAGACTGATTACATGGAACACTGAACTTCTTGCATTTCAGGAATTTATTTGTCACTGTCTAGATCCTTCTGCCATTCTGCCCTCCCCAACAGAACAGCGATTACTACCACTATGTCTGGTCATCTTGAGTAACTTGGTCAATTTAGTTCAATCCCAGTTCCTCTTAGGATACTGACAATTAAATAAAGTTAACTATCTTAAAACTTCCAGACCTGATTTCCTTAAGCATGGAGTTAAGGAGAATAACAGACTGAGTGAAAATTATGTCTTGGTCACTGTAGATAGTTTGCTAGGCTGCCATAATAAAATATCACAGACTGAATAGCATAAACAACCTGAATGTGTTTTCTCACAAACCTACCATCTGGAAGTCAAATATCAAAGTGTCAGCATGTTTGGTTTCTTCTGAGGCCTTGGTTCCTTCTTTGCTCTTAGACATCTGTCTTCTCCTTGTCTTTCCCCATGGTTTCCCTCTGTATACATAGATCCCTGGTATCTTCCTCACTCCCCTTCAGAGGACTCCAGTCCTATTGAATTAGGATTCACCTTAAAGACTTAACTTTGACTTAATTATCTCTTTAAAGACCT